GGCCCCCGGAGATTGGCAGCTCGAGTTGGCCGAAGGATCTCCGGACGCGGGCAAAAATGATCCGGAGTTGTCCGAAGCAGTGCGGAACCCTCCGGTAGAAATTGAAGGCTCCCCGGTGGAACCGGATGATGCTACTGTGGTAGAGGGGGGTAACCCGGTGGTCTCCGACCCCAAAGCCCCCAGTACCCATATACCCCTAGAATCCCCGGGAAGAAGTAATCTGACAGTCGGGGATTGGGTATACTACAAAGCGCATCCGCAGTCAAGTGCGGAGAAGCGTTTTCACGCGGGGTTCGCCCCGAAATGGTTAGGTCCGGTTAAGTTGGGTAAGCCACTAGGGACCGGAGTGTTCTTGACGGAGGGTAAACACCCTACTAAGTTACATGTCTCAGCGATGAAGCTAGCTGTAGGACCGTCAGAGAACACCAACTAATCATACTTTGTTTCAGATGGCAGAACGACCAAACCATCCACCACCAAACCGCAACCACCGGCCATCCCGCGGCATGATTGCCAAGCATGCGGAAAAACTCCGGGCGATGGCCGCGCAGTTGTTGCGGGAAGCCAGGAGGCTGTCGGGCGATGGTCCGGAGGACACGGTTGGCGGTTGGTCGGCCGAACGCGCGGCCACCGCATCGTTCGGCCGGATACGAGCAAGCCCGACTGCGTGGGCCTTGTTCGAGCGGGGGTTCGCCGAGGGACGCCGGTCCACTCGAGCAAACACCCCACAGCCAGAATCCGCCAGGGCTCGGGCCGGACCTCCGGGGAGGGCTCCACCCCGCCAAGCAGCGCCGGCGTACCAGCGCCACGACATCCGGGATGGACGTGGCCGCTTCAGGCGGCCAGCGGTGCAGCCGCAAATCGACCCGCCAGCAGTACAGCCGCAAGCTCAGCAGCCCGAGGTGCAGCCGCAAGCTCAGCAGCCCGTGGTGCAGCCGCCCGCCACACAGCCAGAGCTCCAGCTAGCCCAGCATCCAGGCACCCACCCAGGAGCAGCAGCCGGTGGAGCGGTGGATCCAGGCCATGGAGGTGACACCCACGAACCCGGTCATCCTCCCCGTGGACTAGGTTGCTCGGGCGCGTCTCGTGGACTCGGGGGGTCGTTATCGCAAAGGCCGCGGTGTCTCTATCGGCGTCCGCGAGATCGCGACCGACAACCGGTCTGGCCGCCGCCTGCGGCACGGCCAACGGCGGTGGCGACGGTGGCATCTCTCGTCGGACCGTTGTCAACGCCGCACGCGTATTATTATAATAATATTAACTATATATCACCTGTGCAATATACGTCGCAAGTACCTACTTAACGTGTTCGTCGTCGTTGTTATTTACAACCCCTACAAACCGTTCCATTACCTACATGATGACTCTTTGATATTTAAATTCCACTCAATTAGTATTGAGGAAATATGAGCATCAAGATTTATTAAAAAAATTATGTTATAGTGACGACCTATGATTTTAAATTCCACTCATACGTTTTGAGGAAATAACAGCGTCATCAATTGTTAAAACTATTTTTTATTTTAAATAGAAAATGGCTTAAGTTGGATAAAACTTTAAATTTAAAAAAATAATAGTAAAATGATCTATATTATTATCTTATAATAATTTTACATTATCACAGTAATTATTTTTTAATTAACTTATATTTAAAGTTCAAACTATTTTTGTATAATTTTTGTTGGTAAGATTAATTAAAAATTGATTTGTCCAACTTTGAGCCACTTATATAAAAGAGTTCATTCAAGCGCTTACAATAATTCCACTCATTTAATTTTGAGGAAATGTAAGGCATTCATATTCAATTTTATTTTCAGAAGAATATGTCTATGATGAACTCTATGAGCAGTATAATAGCTAATAATAATTTGGTATTATGGTTTATTCATAAAATGAGTTTGTCTTGGAAAACTATTAGACTATAGTTGTAGTAATTAAAAATGAAATTGTAAACAGTTATGTTTGTATATAAAATGCTTACTATGAATATTATTATGTGTGTGTAATATAGTTTAGCTGTAAAAAAAAGAAATGCGGGTTTTTAGGCCTACAGGGGATCTTTTTACCGCTTTAAAAATCTTAAAAGAAACGAATCTAAATGCAATACCTCATGGGTGGATTTGGAAATTTGCATTAATAATATATTGTTGGCACAAATAAGTAATTGAAATTGTGCATCACAATATATCATATAGGTAGTGTTAAGGTATAATTTTAAATATATCAAAAATATGTGTAAATAATGATGTAGGTACCTAAACAATTTTAAACAGTAGTGTACGTAAGTTATGGCTGGGGGGGGGGGGTGAATATGTTAGTAGGTTTATGTAGATACCACAAAAAAAGGTTAAATAAGTTATGAAAGGGGCACTTATATTTATTTAACATTGTGTTGATTAAATGTTAAATGATAAATATTTTAAACATAGTTATAAACCCATTGAACATTGAATCACAATGTTACTTATGAAGCATTAATAAATAAAAATGAATTATATCATAACATGCTTTGGTTTTTTAAGTACCTAAACAAAATTAATGTAAATATTTGTACATTTTAATTTATTTACAATTATATTTTTATTATAAATGTATTTGTAAGTTAACATATGTGGTATAAAGATGATTTTAAAATTATTTTTTTTATGTAGGTATGTAATTTTTACAATAAAATATAATACATCAATAAAATTGTAAAACAACATAAAATTAAACAAATAATTATTTTAACAACATTATGTACTTATTATTTGAATAATTGGGAGCTTTTTGTTGTGATAATTCCATCTTCAGGTAATTTGTCTGCAAATACACATAAGTACATACAATTGTATTTAATTTATTATATATTTTATTGTTATTTTGTGTTATTTAAAAAAAATGATTACAGATTAATTATAATCATACAATTATAAAAAAATTAGGCCTTCCAAAATAATGATTTAAATAAGGAGGTATAACAAATGGCTTATCTCTGGATACTGTGGTTTGTTGAGGAAATGAAAGATTGATTTTCTAAATTTTAAGCAACTATTATTTACATGGTACCTATGCATAAGTTAAAATATGTAACTACTAGAGATCAGCCCGGTCCCGGGTCAACCCGGACCGGACCGGAAAAACCCGGACCGGATCCGGGTTAGGTCCGGTCTGGGTCAAAATATTTTATATTCTTGGTTTAGGTGTTCGGTTCGAGGCACAGTCATATTATAATGGGTTAGGTTTGGTTTTATGTTTTTTTAATATAACTGGGTATGGTCCAGTCCGGTCTTTTTTATATTATAATGTATGTAATACCTATATAATAATGGATATTTCATTGGTCTGGGTTAATCAATTTATATACTTGGAAAAATGGTATTATTTATAAATAGCATTTGTTCGTATTTCTTAAAATATGGCCATTCCGCTCGCCATACCCTTATCGATTATTAAATAATAATAATAATAATAATATTACGTTCCATCAATACAGGAAATTTTAAAAATAAACGTTGTTTCGTGTTTACCGTCGAATGTCGAATATAGTACCAGTGTCTAATAGGTATTTAGTGGTCACTAGTCACAGTCAGTACGATGCGTGGATAACACTGGGCCACCAACATAAAGGTAAGCATAATAACCATTTTGAGTACCACTAACTATAAAGTATTAGTTATAAATGTTATAAATTATTAGGAATAATAAATTAAATATTAATTACACACAGAACACATTGATAATGAATAACTTATCAGTTGTCAACCAAAGTTTACGGATTTCTAAAATATTGTGTTATAATAAGTAGTTATAAACTTATAAATTAAGTTTGTATTTGTAACTGTAAAATATAAAATATTGTGTACCTATTCAGTATTGGTATTAATATAGTATGATAATTTATAAATCATATCAAAAAAACTAGAATCTTACTTCTTAATTCTTAGGTGATCAAAATTCAAAAATGAACAATCTTATACAATGAACTATAACCTATAAAGTAATACCTAATATAATTTATATTGTTATATAAATATATACTTCTTAGTTCTTAATTGTTTATAAGATTATAAATTTATAATACTTTGCAGTTTGCAGCATGCACATCTAAAACAAAAGGTTTAACTTTTTTTATTTATTACTTATTAATTTAGGTAGGTACTTATAACTTAATATTGTAAATTGTTTCAGAATTAAATTTTGATTTATATCATAATTTTAAGTGTGAGATTTTGAAAATCTATAGTTTTAATATAGTTTAAGTATTATTATATGATTGTTAACAAAATAATGTAAATTCATTTTTAAGGTAGTACCCATTTTTCAAAACAAATAATATAATGAATTTAAATTATGGAGATTATAATCTTTGGAGTTAGTATAATATATTATGAATTTATGACTATTGACTAACTTATGTTCTACTAGTCGCCTTGGCTTGAAAAATACAAAATTAAATAGAGAATTTATAGTAGTATTTAGCTTATTTTTATTTACATTGTAAGAACTAAGAAGTAAGAATAGCCCCAAAACGGTAGACCATAAGTAATAATGGACTGAGCCTAGCTAATGTATGTTATGACTCTTAAATAAGTTGATAAGATATTCCTCAATCTTCAGAATACTAAAAACATTTAAAAATTGTTGAGTAACATTGTTATTTGTTTATATAATTAATATGAATGTTCACTTTTGAGTTGATTGTCAATGTAAAGTTCAAGATATTTTATAGAACAAACTTTATTCAAAATAAATTTCTTATCTATAACAATATTATATTCAGTATTATCCAAAGTTAAATTATTAAAGTGTAAATAGCAGGAGTTTTCAATATTTAATTGTAATGAGTTATTATCTAACCAATGCTTCACTAAAAATCCTTGATTCGTTTTGCCATAAAGTTTATCTAAGGATTTATCAAACAATTATATTAAAATTGATAATAAAATATTTATAATAAGTAATTAAACTCATAATATTATTATTTTAATTAATTTTCAGTTAAGATTCAATTTTTAAAAATGGAAGATAAGTCTGGATCTAATTCTGAATGTGAAGCAGATATAATTCCTCAAGTTGAAACAAAAATAACTGTAAAAAAAAAAATATTGAGTGGTGAATGTATTTTAATTGACAAAAAAGGTACAAGTGCCGTATGGGAATTATTTAAAAATGTGGTATATAATAATGATGAAAATGTATTCACGGGTTTTGTAGCTTGTATTAAATGTAAGCTACCATTTAAGTACAGTCATAGTAGTGGCACATCAACATTGAGCAGACATAAATGTGTAATTGTGAATACCAAAGACGATGCTCAAACCAGTTTGGATTCTTTTGTGTCTAAAAAATTAAAAACAATTCCTGATAAATTAAAATCGGAATGCATAGAAAAATCAGTTAAGTTTTGTAGTGTGGACATTAGACCATTGTCTATAATAGATGGATCTGGTTTCAAAGAACTTGGACAATTTTTAATAAAAGTTGGTCGTCAATACGGTGATGTAGATATAAATGATTTAATGCCACATCCAACTACTGTGTCAAAAAATACAATAAAAATGGCTGAAAATCATAGAAATACACTTTTTGAGAATATTGTACCGTTTATAAAAGACAATTGCTGTTCTATGACTACGGATATGTGGTCTGATAAATATAAAAAACGACACTACATAACTATTACCGTTCATTATATTGATATAAATTGGATTTTGCAAAAAAATGTACTACATACTGGTCAATGGCCAATATCAGAGAAAAAAACGGCTGAAAATATTAAGAATTCAATTGGTACTTTTTTAACAAGCTTTGAATGTACAAAGTCTCTGAATCCTAATGAATTAATGAAAAAAATCACATTTGTCACTGACCAAGGACCAAACATGACAAGTTCAAGTGGATTAGGCGCATACAACAGATTAAATTGTTGTGCTCATATGCTTAATACCGTATTAAGACATGTTTTTGATTCTAAGTTTTTAGATGCTGAAGATGAAAACAATAGGAAATTGTTGGAACCCGTTACCAAACTTTTGTCAGGAGCTAAAAGCTTTGTGAAATTCATGAAAACTTCTGGAGAAGTAAATAAATTATCAAAAGGTTTAATTCAAGAAGTGGAAACAAGATGGAACACAAGGTTGGCAATGCTACTATCAATACATGAGCAATGGGATGAAATTCTTAATGAGTATGGTGAAGATTTTTGGCGACTTCAAAATATAGATATTGAATTACTCAAACAAATTACTGAATTTCTCAAACCATTTAAGACTGCTTCTGATGAATTGGAAGGAGATATTTATCCTACTATACACAAAGTTCTTTTATACAAAGTTGTTCTTGAAAAACATATTAACAAGTATTGTAACTTGGAAGAAGATATTTATGATTCATCAGGAGAATTAAATTCAACATCCATAGTCAAAAAACTAGGAATCCGCGCTAGAGAAATATTTAATAAAAAATTCATTATAAACAGGACACATGAAATGGCATGTTTTCTTTGGCCAAATTTTAAAAAACTGAAAATGGTGTCTGACGAGAATGAAAAGAAAAGGATTCTAAACAATATCAAGTTAGAGCTTCTAAAAATGGAAATAGCACAAGCACAAAATGACCAAAATGTAGAGAGTGAATCGATCGAAGATACTGCAGCTCTGAATATATCACAGTTTTCTGAATGGGAAGATGATGCACCAAAACCAAAACAGTCATATGAGCAAGAAATGGATAATTATTTAACATGTTTTGTAGGTAAAAATGTAGATACCGACATACTCAATTTTTGGAAAAGTCAAAATGAGAAATTTCCATTACTCTCTCAGTTAGCTCGCCAAACTCTCTGTATACCAGCATCCAGTGCAAGTAGTGAACGAGTTTTCAGTGTTTCAGGGAGAATAATTGAAGAACGTAGAAGTCGTCTAAAAGGAGAAACAGTCGACTCACTTGTATTTCTACATGACTTCTTTAAAAACATAAAAGTACTAAGTACAAGTAATAAGTAAGAACATATTTTATAATATTATATTTTTTTTTTAAATAAAAATTAATAAAGCCACTAGGAGTTTCTAGTGAGTACTGAGTAGTGAGTAGTGTTTCTTAATTGTTAATTTATAAAATAATATAAACTGTTGGTATTCTTAACTAATTTCATGATTTTTTTATTTAATTCTTAATTCCTTTACCTACTACCTACCTACCAATCAAAAAAAAAAAAAAAATAACTATAAACATGAAATCATATTAATGAAGCTAACAATTCAACGATTAATAATAGTGATTGTACAATTGTAATAGTGTTTAAATTATTTTAAATAGTTTTTTACAGGCTCTAGTAGTAATATTTTAACTTTTAAACTATATAATGTGCAATGTGCACTGAGTAGACATTAGACAATATAGGTACACGATACAGCCATAGTGGTAAAATAAATATCACTGCTGGAAGTAATGTGAAAGCATAACTCAACAAGTGTCATAGTTGAACCAAAAAAAAAGGTAAAAAATAATTATTAAAATATATACTGATGAATACATACCTAATTTATTTATTATTTATGTATATTAAAGGGGTTTAAACCCTTTAGCAAAAATACAAATAATTTTGAGTACAGTCTCAACTTAATTTGATGATTAGGTACTAGGTGGTCAATAATTGAAATTATTTAAGTGACATTTTATTTAGTTTCTAATAAATTTGCTTTATATGGATGATCCGGTTTGGGTACTCAATGAGCATATTTGTCCTGGTCCGGGTTTTTATTAAAAACTTATGATCCCGGGTTGGGCGAGTTGGTTTAAAAAAAAAAAAATAAAAATCCGAGCTGGGCTGGTCCGGGCTTATAAAAAGTTTGTAAGCATGGTTCAAAATTGGTTTGGGTTGAAAAATATATTTTCGGGATTGGTCTGATCCGGTTTAACAAATTGTCTTAAATATTTGGTCTGGGCCGATCCGATTTTTATAGGACCGGGCTGTACTCTAGTAACTACAAATAATATTTTCAAATAATGAAAAACATCATGCAGTGATATTGACTACACAATCTAATTAATTTATAATATTGGTATTTTTGTTCTTCAGCGTCATTTATTTTGCAAATTCTGCATACATCTTAAGTAACTAAACAAATTACAAAGTATCTAATTTTTCTAGGAACTGTGTAAATACTGTATGCACTGACTACCAATAGAATAATTTAGATATAAGTGACTATTGTTAGACCAAAATCACAACTCTAAAATATCTACATATACTATTTTTGGTATATATTAACATATTTGATTTTTTTCATGAAACAAGAAAAATAGTAGATTCAATATCACAACAAATATTTGTACCTACATACATTAAATTAAAGACTATTTAAATATAATATTTAAATCCTTAAAAAACAAAAATTAAAATCCTGCAGATACCCAGATGAACATGATTTTTGTGTATTTCAATGTTGTTTTGATATTTATTTAAATCTGACCTATAGCCATAGTTATATAGTTATTATTAAAATATCAATAGATAAATATGGATGGGTTGAAATCAGCCTAGTATTTACTTGTCTGGCCAACTGGGCACATCCCATGGTTATAGGCCATTGATGAATAAACTCAAATTCTTGTCTCTAGCAGATAGAAGAGTTTAAGCTAATTTGGTATTTGTGCACAAGCTAATTGAGAGACGTGTGGATGCTCCCTCTCTTCCTTCTCATAATTACATTATCATTTAACTAGGTTTAGTTTTCCTATGTAGTTTTCCTTAGTTTCTCTTAAAATGTTTTTATAAATAATAGTACTGCAATCTGTTGTTACTATTTTATAGTTATTTTGCTATTTGTTTATTAGACTTCACTTTAACGATTATGTTATATTGTTCATATTTACATATTACTATAAATTGTATTGTACTTTTGGGCTCCTAGCCCATTCATAAATAAATGAATATGGACATAAAACACTATAATATAATATACAGATTGTAATAAATTGATAACTGTCTTTTTCTTGTCTTTTGCTTATAATTAAAATTAAATTAAATTTTAGTTGCCCCTAATAAATTTAGTAAATGCAACTTAATATAGCTGGTATCAACCATTTTCTTATCAGTGGTATAGGAGCTAACTAGGAAGGAGCTATCTTCACAGACATTCCAGTTGACGGGATCGAAGACATAGATAATATAAGAATGGATAGGACATGCCTATACCAGTTCCATATGAGGCCGTGTGCTTTTTTGGGGAAGAGAGAACGTAAAGAGAAAAAGACTATATGAGGCTTTTTAAGGTTATGTGCAAAACTATTTTATTAAATAATAATAATAATAACATGATAGTCAGTTATATTTAGATATTTGTCAGTTTGTATTTTGATTGTTGTGCCACCTGTGCCTGGAAAATGGAAATTGGAAAATAATATTTTAACAAAATGAAATTATATAAATTTTATTTATTATTATTTATCAATTATCATATCAATATTTGCCTTATATAACCTTAAAAATAGTATCACTAAATTTTCATGTGATAAGCTCTTATGCCCTATCCATTCTTATATTATCTATGATCGCAGACCAGTCGAAAATCCGTTATCAGTGGCGGCGCCGGGTGATAATTATCATTTTATTATTATCATTTTGTATTATCAGTTTGTCATATCAGTTGATATCACTATTTCCGTATTATCATTCCAATTATTATTGTTTATGTACTGATCAATATTGATCATATATTATCATTGAATTTTATTTTTATACATATTTTGTTCGGTTATGTGGGCGCCCGTGTAATATTTTTTATTCATTTATGTTTATTATTGTCATCATTGTTAGCTCTATAGAGCCATATCATAATTATATGCATTTCGCGCGGCGCGCAATAACAAATTATTTTTTCTCTACCAGATAAAGTGTATTATTATTTTATGTAGTTTGGTCACCTAGCTCAAAGTAGATACTCGAGTCGGAGTAGTCGACTACCTACTTGTAAGAACTATTAATCCTACATTTTAAAATTTTAATTTATTTATATACGTAGTCATATATCTATTGACGCATGTCGTTCATGGTCACGCGCTATATGCGCTATACGCGGTACCATCGATATTATTATTATTATTATTATTAATGCTTACGCTAGCAAACGCTCGCGTATTATATTTATATTTACGCGGCGCGTATATTATAATATGATTACGTACATATTATAATGTGATTTGGACAAGTCATTTGGCAAGATAGTCACAGCTCGCTACATAAGACAAAATATGATGCGCTGTCTGGATTGGTATAAATAAAACTTTATTATAACATTTATATTTCATTTTTATTTTTATGTCAGTATATGAATATAATTTTCAAGTCATGTACAATATTCTTAGGCAACTATAATCGGATTTAAAACTAAAAAAGTTCTATTTTTCAGAATTCGAAATCTTTTTGCATAATTTGCCATCGTGCTGAATCAAAAAAAGAAAATAAACCATCTCATAACTGCTTTTTAAACTGAAATAAGTCTGAAACATCTATAGAAGCTGACGGAGTGGCTGAGGGTTTTATGCGAAGCGTAGACCTACATAACTTAAAGTTCAATCGGTTAATAGGTAACATTTTTTTTCTGTTATACATAATAAAATAATATAATATCCCTCTACTTTATTTATGGTATAATTTAATAAGCGACGGTGATAGTAGCGTCAGTAAAAGGTTGAATGAAATATTACCCTATGGACCAAATATGTTAGTAAAAAAAATTGAATGCCTCAATCATTTACTACGGAATTATATGCAAACATTGTTAGTTATAAGTAAGAAATCTTCATTTCCAATGCTTTTAAGAAAATTTGTGGAAACACATACAATGCGATTTAGAAGTGCAGTCATTAGAGCTATAGCTCACCGTAAAAAACTATGTACATCTACAGCACAAAAAATTGAAGGTAAGCAGTTGTACTTACCTATGTATTTTAAAAGTTTTGTGTTTAATAAAATTATAATATTATTTATTTAATGTGTGTACCTAATAATTAATAATAATTATTATTCCATGATATTTTAGATTTAGCTAAAGATTTGAAAAATGGGCCATTTCACGTTCTTAGATAATATTAGAAATGTGATAAATATGTTTGTGATAAAAAACCAAAATGCGGAGAAAATTGGGTTCCACAAGCAATAGAAAGTGTTTGAAAGTGGCATGTTAATGGAAATTAATAATGCGGCCAATCGATTAGCTTTTAATTCTAAAAGCTTAATCATGGATGATGACAACAATATCTGTGAACAATTTAATAGTGTGGTAAATAAATACATCGGTGGCAAAAGGAAAAATTTATCTCAACGTAACGCCTATAATACTCGAGTAGAAGCAGCAGTAATTTCTTTTAACTCAAACCAGTATTTACGTGCTGTAACTAAAAAAGTTATACATAAAAGTCCAGGTATTATACAAAAAAATATATTTATTTAAATTTTTAACATTTAAATTTAAATAATTTAATTTTAGGAAAATTTGGTAAAACATTTTTGAAAAGTATCAATAGTGTAGTAAACCGACGAAGTCGCTTCCCTATAGTTAAACATCATAAGGACTTTCTCATGTATGATACATTGATCAACAACTATAACGTACCACGCCCTGTTGTTTTGCCACTTCAATAACGCCGAAATCGCATAACGATTCCTAATATACATATTGCCGAATAAACCAGTTTTCAACTCAAGGATTATTCGACAACTTTAACATCTACCTTTCGAAACCACCGGTATTCCTTTGATCCACCTCCTAGTCTCTACCGTGTACCTAATAGCCAAGGGAGACTTTGTATACCTATATACGAGTCTCCGTCTGTACCTAAATTAGAATTAGCTCAGTGCTAGTACGACGTATACACTTGTAAGTACTTAGTATTAACCACTAATCTCTCGGGCAGACGCTTATCGCTCTGTCCTCAAATTTCTATATTCAAATGTAAAACTATTATATTATTATTAACTTTAAATAAATTACTTATAAATTATAACGTTGTAACTTGTAACTCTGCAACCTTTTCTCCTACTCAACCATCAACGTCTTCGAACTCAAAATATAAGCGTTAGTGAGGGATCACTACAATAGGATACGATTAAATAATCAACGAAGGCGCAAATTGTTTCAAGGGAAATCAAAAAGAAAATCTAAATTTATTAGACCGGATGAACATTATGGTTTAGCAGATTTGCTACAAGATGATATAACTACGGAAGAACTTGATGTAAAAAAAATAAAACAGTTTATTGATAAATTAATGAAAACTGATAGAGGTATTTATAAATTTCGTATTCTAAATAACTTTGGAATACGACATTAAAAATGTATGCTGTCTTTCAAAAATATATAAAGGGTGTAATAGAGAGAACTGACTTTTGGAATAACTTTTAGAATAATCAATATTTTTAAATATTTTTGTCTATACAGGGTCCGGCAAAAAAACCTACCATATTATTATTATATATTATACGGGAGGTTTTTTTGCCGGACCCTGTATATAAGTTATAGCCACTTGCGCTACACATGTAATAAATAAAAATATTTTATTTTTTAATACTTTTAAAAATAGAAAATTATAAATTTGATTTGAATTTTTTTTGAGTAGGCAATATGTGAATCTGACTATAAGAACGATTAAGATGGTAAAAACATTTATCTAAGTCAAGTTGTTTATTTTTTGAATTTTTTTAAAATATCAATATTTTTTTGATTAAATTAATTTGGAACGCAATAACTTTTTTAAAAATATTATTTTTGGAAATTTGGTAACATGGGTATATATCTTAAAATATTTACTTATCATATAATTTTATCAATTTTTGTCATACGTTTAAGTAGCATAGATTTTTTTTGATCAGTTCTTTCAGTTACAGCTTGTATATCATTTTTTTTATGTTGTTTTATTACGACTTGAAATTATGTATAAGATTATTTTCAAAAAATTTAAAATTTTTCGAAATAATGATTACCTACCTTGTATTTTAAATATTTATTTACCTACAAAATTCTACCAATGTATTATGTAATTGAACTTTAGAAATGTTGGAGAAAGTAACAAGATCTCAGGTAAAATCTCAAGTTTGGTATACTGAAAGGGAACATCGTCTAACGACTAACAGACTCAAAGTTTGGGAAAATATGTAAGATGAGGCCTAATATTTCGTGTAAGAATACAGTGCATGAATTATTATACGGAAATATGAACCATAAAATAAAGGCAGTTGAACATGGAAGAGTTATGAAGCCATTAGCGGAATAGAAGTTGAAAAAAAATTTGGATTTAATATCGACCCAGCTGGTCTGTTAGTGGATGATAAAATATCTTATTTGGCTGCAAGTCCAGGTAAGAATTATAATTTTATAAATATTTTTCAGAATGCATGTTATATTGCAGTAATCATAATATTGCAGTATATAAATTAATATATATCGATGGCTTAATTCAAAAATGTTGTATGTGCAAAATAATGATTTTTACAGTACAGCCAATTCAAATTTTTCAAATTTGTATGTATGACAGGAGAGATTGAGAAATAATGAATTTAAATTAAATTGTTTCAATGCATTGTTTATTTACCCTTTTACTAAAATATTAGGAAAACTAACTAATTTATGAAATTTAAAAGTTGAATTTTTAACTTTTTGAAAGTTGAAAGTGCACTTAACACCTTTAAAAATTGTATAAATGTACTTATCACATTTTGGGACAATTTTGTAGGTTATTAATTATAATATGTAAAGATGTTGAATGATAAATTAAAATGGTCAGGAAACAAAAATGCATTATTCAGGCACGTCAACAAGGGGGGGGGGGGGGGTCACTCCCCCCACAATAATTTTTTTCCTTTTTTTTATGTATGTGCCTTTACAAAATAAAATCAGGTTCTTAAATCAAAGAATAACAAAACTCTATAAAATTATTACTCAGCTTTAACCATGACTTTTGGTTTAATATTTAAATAAAATGTAACAAATTATATCAACAAATAACTAAAGTAATAGGTACTCAATAAAATTATTTTTCAGCTTTAACCATAACACTTAGGTTAAATATTTAAATAAAAAGTGACATTAAATTAAAAAATAACAGTTGTAGTTAATCAGATTAAAACTAATATTCAGACTTAACCATAACACTATAGTTTGAATATTTAAGTACAAATTAAAGAATAAAAAAATAGACAATTTTTTATTAGATTTATTATTCACAGTCTGAAGAGTTGCCTTTTGGTCGACTTGTAGATGGAATAGACTTAATATAATTTGTATATTCTGGTGGTATTATTCTTTTTTCCAGTAGAAATAGTAAATCATTCTTTTTTGCCTCACTTATGGGCATTGGTTTTAATACAATGTTGTCCCAATCACTGCATAGTACTTTTATTTTAGTACATTGAGTTCAGAGTTACATCAATTTCATAAAATTCTGTATCATTTAAATTATATTTGTACTGAATAGTGTTGGGCTTAGACTTTTCAAAGCGTAGCCATTTAATTTTTAACCACTGAACTTTTACAGGACCATTAGACGTATCTTGTAAATTATTTACAGTGCGTTTAGTGGTATTTTGTATAACTTTAGATGTAAGATTGTTTAAATCATAAAAGTCAGAATGAATCAAAGTAGTTACGTTATAAGGGTCTGGATTTAATCTTGCCGATGATATAAGTAATGCCCATTCTCTTGTAGTGTATATTTTTTTATGTTTTCTGTACCTCTCTATTGTTGCATGCATATCATCTGCCTCTAAATATGAGTGTCCCGTTTCCATATATTTGAGATCAACTATTTTTAAATTAGTTATTTTGTTTACAGCATATAACATAGCTGCACAAACATTTTTATTGCGGTTTTGTCCTCAGCATGTATCAGAAAAAGAAGAAACATGATGAACAGTTGTCGGTAGCTCAAATAGGTATTTCAATAAACATGTGCCTATCTCAACACTACCCTTTTTTCCACTAATTTCGTCCCACCAACCATTGTCCATTATCATAATCGGTAAAATGTGATTAGTGTACACATCGTCACTTAACACATAAAAATAAAACTCAATTAATTTTATAGTTCATGCTAAAATGTTATAAGTACATGCGTTGCACTTAACACATTCCAGAAATAACCATATTCATTTTATAGTACTTATCACAAAATAGAACGCTATCTATTGACTTAAATATGTACTATATCACTTACCACATACTTACAATTATACCTTTTCGTATACTACTATGCACTTAACTCATTTTCGACGAAAAATGTACTTACAACATTTTTGAATTAAGCCATCGATATATATTTATAATAATGAATAAGTTATATTTGTACATATTTCTTGTTGTTAGATGGACTTATAGTTCAAAATTTTGTTATTGAAATAAAATGTCCTTTTTCCGCTCGTGAATATTTTGATATATTTGAAGCAATCCGAGAAGGAAAAGTAATAATTAATGTCTTAAATATTTAATTTCGTTTTTAACACATTTCAATATTGTTGTAGATTACTTATTGTACAGTTGACGAAAATAATAAAGTAAAACTAAAAAATAATAGTGATTATTTTTATCAAATCCAGGGACAGTTACACATCACAAAAGGATCAACGTGTTATTGTTGTATGTACACTGAAAATTGGAATTATATGATTGAAATTCGATATGAAAATCAATTTTGGGACAATAATATGGTAGACCATTTATGCACGTACGTATTATAAATACTTTTTCAATAATTATTAAATCTGTAAGTAACATTTAAATTTGATTTCAGATTTTATACCAAGTGTTTGCTACCTGAAATAGTGAACCCCAAATTCGGTAAAGATTTTTAATAAGTGCTGAGCCATCACATATTAAGGAAAGACAACAAATTATTTTAAAGAAAAAAACAGCTTCAACCAAACAAAAATCGTGTTAATAAAAGAATGTACCATTTATACAGAACTTAATAATTAAACCTTTCATAAGTGTATTTTTTATTTTGTACATAAATTATCCATCAATCATCATAGACGTATAGTAGTAAATAGGACGCTACACACCGGTTTTCGCCACCTAAAATCACGTTTTAGTAGAATTGCTCTCATTTGAGCTGTATTTATCGCACAAAAATCGAATTTCGGCCACTTAAGGATAACAATATTATCTGGGTTCCTATGTTGGATGATAAGTATACGTTAACTCAGTCGTTTGTTTTGGACTGTAGAAAATTATAAAATAACCAAATATTCAACATTTATTAAAAGTTTCTATGTTGAATGTTTCTAAAAGATCCAACATAAGAACACAGATAATGTGTTTGTGTTTTTTTTAACCTTTGTGTTTACGAAAGTTGGTTTTTGTATAATTATTGTAGCCCAAATGAGAGTGATTCTGCCAAGACATATTTTGAAAAAAAATTCTTATTTGTATAACCGTATAGTGCTGCTCTAGTGGATATAACGGTTGTGTACAAAACTGCACCCGTTACCCCACACCACGCACGGTACCTCACCATGGATCGAATAGAACGGTTATCTATCGAAGGCGCTCACAGTTTATAAATATCCAAATTGTCGACACAAAAATAGCAATATTTCCGATAAATATTAATTTGTACCACAATAATAATAATTTGCCACACAAGCCGATGTTTGAAGCCGGCTTTTATAAACCCATGTAGTAATTTCATCTGGGAATTGCGATTTACACATCAAACAGTAACGTATCGCTGTATTTCGGTACGCTTGATTCTTGATTTTTTATTTTATTACTACTGTGCTGTGAAATTTTTTTTTATTATGTCTCCCTACAAAAAAGCTCGGACTGTTAAAAAAAAAAACAAACAGCATAAATTGGAAATGAAAGTCCGATTAAGGATGGCTAGCATGGCTAGAAAAAATCGGCATATTACGTAAGTATTTATTTACTATTTAGTTATCAATCTTCTATTCATAATATGCAAACTTGGATACCAATGATTAATTTGTGTATGATTATAAAGAGAAATACCGCAAAATTTGAACCCAGAAGATCCCGAAATTGATAATGTTGTGTAAGTTGGATAATACCTACCATTTATTTACACGTACCTATGCTACGCCAGTAACTGTCCATTAAAAAATTACAATTTCCAACACTTTTAAATACCTATAATTTAGCACGTAATTAACACGAATTTGCACCGGCTAACTCCGAAATTCTCATGATTATTGTTTCGATTGATGTTTCACGTAGGTATTGGATTCATTTTTGAATACTTATTAAAATGGTTGGGAACAAATCTACTTTACCGGACAACCTTTTTTTTTCAATTTTTTTTTTTTTCAAAATACGTGGTTATTTATGCTGAATTCAAAACTGTTTGAAAAAATTCCCGCAAACTTACCGTTGAAAAGTTATGGAAGTTCAAAGTTGCTGTGATTACGCATGTATCGGCACTCGTCGCTACGCTAATCGGCGCCGTTGCTCCGCTCCGCAAATCGAAAATATCCCCCGATTTGTTGTGTAAAACCACCTCAGGTGAACCTCGGTCTCCCTCAATATTGTGAAAACTTACCGTTGAACAGTTATGGAAGTTCAAAGTTGCAGTGATTACGCGTGTTTCGGTACTTGTTGCTACGCTGGCCACGCTCAAAACATACTTAGTTATTAGGTACGATAAAATCGTAGATAAAGAACGAATTTAAAAACTATTACCTATATATATTATTACCTTAATAGTAATATAGGTAATAGTTTTTAAATTCGTTCTTTATCTACTATTCTATCGTACTAACTTAGTATGTTTCGAGTATTGGCGAAATAACGTACCTTGTGAGCAGTAAGATTTTTGCGATGGCTGTAAATTTATTTGATTTTAAAGAGTGGAGTTCCATGGATAATGGACTCGTTTTAATAAATAAATTAATAGAATTTCAAGTACTTCCTGCCTCACGTAAATTCCCGAGGGGCCATGATATGAAAATTGTGAAAGATAGTAACGTTCTCGATAATTTTAAATGGATTTGTCGTGAAAAAATTAGAGAGAAAAAACAAACCACAAAACCTTGTAATTACAGCTAAGTCGAATAACAATAATAATTGTTCGATTAATTATTATTAATTATCATGAATTTAATTAAAAATAATTTTGCAGTGCATCATTACGTAAAAACACTTTTTTCTACAAGTCACATTTGTCACTGTTGAATATTTGTGGATTCGTGAATTTATGGTCGATGAACTGTCCTTCCATTGTCATACAAAAACAGCTTCGATTGGCAAATCAAACCGTGGTAGATTGGAGTTCGTTTTGCAGGGAAGTGGTGTTCGATCATATGATAAAAAAAAAAACAATTGGGAGGCATCGGAGAAGTCGTCGAAATAGACGAATCTAAATTTGGACGCCGTAAGTATCACCGAGGACACCGGGTAGAAGACCAGTGGGTTTTTGGCGATTATGAACGTGGAAGCGGAGATTGCTTCCTAATTCCAGTGGAAGACCGAAGCGCAGAAACACTGGTCAAGATAATCGAAGAATGGATAAAATCAGGCACAACGATTATTTCCGATTGCTGGAAGGTACTTATTACTTAGCAATATAATATAAGGTGTTCGGTCAAAACAATTTAAAATTAATAAAATACCTACCTACGCCCGATAAAGTTTATAGTTAAGAACATTATTATGTGACACTATTATAACACTATAACATTTAGTACCGATAAGAAATCCTACTACCTATACCAATCTACTATAAACTATAAACATTATCGTGCGAGATTAAAACTCAATAAATAAAGTCTTTAAAATAAAAATTTTCAGGCATATAGCAGATTGAATGAAAAGGGTTATACCCATCTCACGGTTAACCATAGTGTTAATTTCAAAGACCCAGAGACAGGCGCACACTCCCACACCATCGAAAGCACTTGGCGCCATGCTAAAGTAATATTACCGAATTATAAAAGAAAAAAGAATTCTGGGTACCTGGCAAAATATATGTTCATGAAAAAATGCCGTAATCATGAACTAGACCCTACCGTACAATTTTTTAATGCTGCTGGGTCATTGTACAGCGTACATGACAATGTAGAAAATGTTGATGTACAGGCAGAAGACGTAAATAGCGAAGAAGAAGACAAAAATAGCGAAGAAGAAGACGACGAACAATTATCAAATGTATATACTAATTATGAGTGAATAAAATTTAATTAAAAAAGTGCAAAAAAAGTTTTACTGGCGATCGGGTTTGAAATTAGTATGTTGTGCCTCATCTTTCTCGCGTTTCCCACTGCGCTACAACTCGGTACTAGAAACACTGGTGAATGTTAGTTATTTAGCACATTTTATTAGAGATGTGAGTGGTGTAAATTTACCAGGTAAATTTTACCAATTTTTTTTACCGGTAAATTATTTTTTACCAAAAATAAATGTTGTGTGACCCCTCTAATCAAATTAAATCGAAAACGCCTAGTCTGCATGTAAAGAGATATAGTTTTTATCAAATGATAACAATGCAATAATGGATAAAGTACTAATGTATGTATGTATGTATGTGGTACTAATCATACTTTCTATTTGTTCGGTATACGGTCGATCGTCAATCGTTATCATGTTATCAGCTGTCGCCCTGTGTTGTTATGACTATTTGATATTTCTATTTTAAGATACATTTTCGAGTTTCTAGTCTCTAGACTCTATAGTCTATAGCGTATCAACAAAAATATTTTTACCAATTTCCACTTTCCAGTTGGCAAAAATGCCTTCAAATTTTTTAAATATAGGTACCAAGATGAAGCCTCAAGAAATAAAAAAACGATATTTTGTACCGATTGAAGGCAAACGTTTTCAATGCTTATATTGCGAAAGCATTTATAAAGAAAACGTTACTAGAATGGCTTTACATTTTTCAAAATGCAAAAAAAAACCGTCCTCAATTGCATCAAATAAAAAAAAAAATAACAACGAACAACAGGGTAAGTTAAAAACTTAAAATAACTATGTACTTTTTCGGGATTCAAGTAATTTATGCATTTTCTGATCATATTATAATATTAAATATAGTGTTACCATGACAATACATTGTATTCATGCCATTGATTAAATAATCGGTGGCTAGAAAGGGGGTTCCTAAGAGTATTTTGTATTATCATAGATTTTTTGTTGTTTTTGAAATATTTAATGACATTTGTTAAGTACCTTTACATGTATATTATATTATGATGCTAACAGCTAATAGGTATATTTTAAGTTTTAAGAAACAATAATAAATTAATTGAAAGTGATTCATCAAATACAACCAACGGCAACAGCACAGGCTTAAAAAATATTAATACTGGCCATACTAAAGAAAGAAAATTAATATCATACATGGATACCATGAAAAAAAATGAACAAGTAATGTATAATATTCTTAATTTAAAATTGTTTTTTATTCAGTATACATTCAATGTTATTACTATTATTATTTATTTATTTAATTAGCACTTTAAATTTGAAAATATTAAATAACATACTTCACTAAATATTTTATGCTTAATTGGAAACTTAAATTGACAACTTCCTATAACTTATTTATGAAACTAAACAAGATTATTACTGCGGTAAAAGAATTCGTAGGCTTAAGCGAGTCACTACAACTCGTTGGATGTCACATGGCCCTTGATTCGATATTAGAAACATTCGAAGCTGTTATTGAAACTCTGGATGAAGTCAGGAATAATGAAGGATGTAATGACCAAAGTACTGGACATATTGCTGGTTGTCTTATAGAATACCTTCTTTCTAAACGGTTTTTGTTAATCGCATTCTGTTTTAAGTACATTTTTGAGATTTTTGGACCAGTCAACATTTTATTACAACATTATTT